GACTTAGTTGCAAGCTTCTTGAGGAAGTGTAGATTCTATTGTTTTAATAATGATGCCCAGGGTTAGGGTGGGGCCACAATTGGGGATGAAAGTTTTACATTGAAATATATATGAAAAAGTTTCTTCTCAAGAACCACAGGACCAGAAAAGATGAAACTTGCGTGAAGGCTTCCTGCGGTAGTAAGTTCTAAACTAAACTATTCAGCTTGTGGCCCCCAGGGTTAGGGTGGGGCAACACTAGGGGATCAAAGTTTCACATGGAACTAAATTTAAAAAAAATCAAGGGAATATAAAAATTTGATGAAGAACAGCACGATCAAAGTAACTCAGGTGAGCATTGTGGCCCATGGGCTTCTTGTTTTAATTCATGACCCTCAAGGGAATACATGTATAAAAATTTGATGAAGAAAGCACGACCAAAGTAACTCAGGTGAGCATTGTGGCCCAAGGGCCTCTTGTTTAATTCATGAACCTGGGGTCAGGATTTAGCTACATTTTATAGAGGAATGTGTAGGTAAAATCTCTAAAAATCTTTTTTTTTATAGGAAAGCAAAGCCATGATTAGTCATACATGTATTTACATTGAAGCATCCTCAGGTGGTGTAGGTTCAAATTTGTACAGCTTATGATGGCTTGGGGTAGGATAGACCCTGAATATGTGATCAAAGTTTAACATACGAAGATTGGGGAAAAAATCCGCTGGTGAAGAACAGCAGGCCATAGTGACTCGTGTGAGTGTTGTAGCCCATGGTCCTCTTGTAAATTGGAATTGTTAGCATTTACAGGGGCCAGTAACACACTTTGCTTGATTTTATGTGATCACTTTATATGCAAACAAGATGTATTTGTATAAAACTGAATCCCCTGTATGGTAGCTTATGGCAAAGGTTAAAGTTTCTCAAAATGCAAGTCAAACTCCAAGGTCATGAGATCAAAAATGTTGGTACCCAAAGAAAGGTCTTGTCTCAAGAAATATACCTGTAAAATATGAAAGCCCAAGAGCACCAACCATTGAAAATTTATGGCGAAGGTAAAAGTTTTTCAAAAGAAGGTCAAACTCCAAGGTCAAGGACAAAAGGTCAAAACCTCGTACTCAAGGGAAGGTCTTATCACATGTGAAACATGAAGGCCCTAGCATCAACTGTTCAAAACATGGCCAAAGTTAAAGTTTTTTAAAGTAGGTCAAACTCCAAGGTCAAGAGATAAAAAAATTTTGGTACCCAAGGGAAGTCTTGTCACGAGAAATATAAATGTGAAATATGAAAGCTCTACCTCCAAATGTTCAAAAGTTATGACCAAGGTTAAAGTTTTTCAAAAGTAGTTCAAATTCCTTGGACCGTTCACGGTAGCTCAGTCGGTATAGAGCGCTCGCTCCGTGATCGGGAGGTCGTGTGTTCGAATCTCGGTCGCGACAGACCTAAGTCGATAAAAAATAGGTAGCAACTGTTCCTTCGCCATGTGCTCGGCACTTTGAAGTGAAAGTTGCGGGTCTTTCGGATGAGACCTTAAAAACCGAGGCCCCGTGTCACGGCAGGCGTTGGCACGATAAAGATCCCTCACTGCTCAATGGCCCTGAGTGCCGAGTAAAGGTCAAAATTTGAAGCCCTTCACCAGTATATGGTGACGTCTCTATAGGAGGGAAAAATTCTCGAATGGGACGTAAAACAACATACAATAAGAATTAATATTTCTGTTGTAACTACATACTAGTATATGTAGTTTGATGTTTCATAAAAAATTGACTGCACTATTACATATTGGCACATATACTGTGGTCGGCAAAAATATATATGATGCGAAAATTAATTTGCATACTTCGTTGCCTAAAGTATTGTTTGAAAAATATTTTGACTGGATAGGAGAGACAGAAACAGAGAGAGAGAGAGAGGGGAATTCATGTAATTAAATTGCATGAATATATACTATTTGTGTTGATTGCATCATTCTCCCTTTACGAAAGCCCATTGAGCTCATTTTCGTAGGTTAAAAAAATATATTTTTCGCGTTATAACGCGAAAGTTTCGCGTTCTTTCTCGTTATAACGCGTAACTTTCGCGTTATTACGCGAAACTTTCGCGAATAAACGCGAAACTTTCGCGTTATAACGCGGAATTATACATATATAGTCATGTTACTCGGGAACCTGTGATCTTGACTGACAGATAAAAAACGTGAACGCAGAGGGGGACTTCTATGAATTTATAAATGACATTTCTTCAGAAGATGTAAAAGAGAATTGATGCGAGAAATGGATAGATTAATGTTGATTTTGCATTTAATCTCAAAACCCTACTAATTAATTAAATGAATATTCATTTAAAGATTTTCTTGTTTTTCAGTTGTTGAATCCAAGAACTTCTTTAGACTAATTTTTTTTCTCTCAGGAAGATCTCCACTCGTTGCTTTCTTTAAATAAATTGTCAATGTTTTCGTAAGTAATGGTATGACCAAGTGGTGCAACCTTAAAATACAATGTTGTATTTCTACAGTGAGTCTACAGGAGATGAATCATTTGATACGAATATTTGTCATCCAATTTTCACATTAGGTTACTCATGTGATGTGACACAATTGTTCCGTGAAATATAGAAATTTACCTCATTGTTGACAATTTTCTGAGATTTTTTATTTCAAATTCTATAGAGAGCGTTCAATTTAATTAAAATTAGACTTGTATTTTCGCTCCTCTACCATACATTTCAACACTTGTATTGAACAGCATTGAGAAAGACAAAATGTGACGGCAAAAAAGATTTAGAAAGAGGAGAGACACATTCAATAGCGAGAAACATAAAATTTCAGCTTGTGATAATCCAAGTTCAAAATAGTCTTTCGTTTTTCATTTTAATGAATAAACTAGATCATTAAAGAGTAAAACAAACTGTAGACTTATGCAAATGTCTCTGTTTTACAGGGAAAGTTTCGCGTTATAACGCGAAAGTTTCGCGTTTATTCGCGAAAGTACGCGTTATAACGCGAAAGTATCGCGTTTATTCGCGAAAGTTACGCGTTTATTCGCGAAAGTTTCGCGTTATAACGTGAAAGTTACCCGCTCTAACGCGAAAAATATATTTTTTTTTACCTACGAAAATGAGCTCAATGGGCTTTCGTACTCCCTCTTCAACATGTACATGCGCGGATATAGAGGGAGGTGGGGGAGGGGAGTTTGCATAGTTTTTAAAAGTATATATACGGAAGCAAATATATAATGACTTTGCCCCCCCCCCCCCCCCCGAAAACGTGAACCCTACTATCACCACCACGAAATGGGTGTTACTCATGTTTGGGAAATGGATTTTAGGGGTTTTTTTCTTTCTTTTTTTGTTTTTGTTTTTTTTTTTTTGTTTTGTATTGTTTTGTTTTGTTTTTTTTTTTTTTTTTTGCTTGTCAAGAATTTTTTGTCTGGATTTAATACGTGTTTGGGATGGGAAATTAGTTTGTTTTTTTTATTTTGTCAAGAAGTTTTTGGGATGGAAATCCCCCCCCCCCCCCCGGAAAAAATTCCTGGATTCGAGCCTGATGTATTTTAAAAACAGCATTTTATTGCATGCCCGTAGGAAGCAATTTCACTTTTTTGGGGGCACATCCATACGTTTTCAGTTGGGGGGGGGGGGCACTTTCAACTACCAAAATTTCTTCGACAAGCAAAATAAAGGGGGAGGGACATCAGACGTTATTATTGAGGGAGCACAAGCATATAGTAGCTATGTTTTCTATATTATTCTATATACAGTATCGGCAAAATTATTGGGTGGACACCCTCCCCCTTGGTTCCTAAGGCCATGTATTGCATTAAATTTGCTTCATCAGAGTTGAAGTTACAACTGTGTGTTGAATTTTTTCTTTTACTGAACATGCAATCCCATGAAAACTAAAGATGTAATTTTCTATTTGAACACTGTTTTGTGCAAGCTCACCATCTCAGTATACACAGTCAGAGAAATTCGGACTAAATTGCACTATATCACGATTCATGATACATTCCTTCTTGATTAGTCCGTGTGATTTACACATCAATTACATTCATAAACCTCAACAAAAAAAATAAATAAAGTAAAATAAATAAATAAAATACTAAAAATAAAAAAAAAAATAAATCCTTAAACAACCCTAAATATGGGGCGACAATGTATGCAGTTGAAGGCAGGCACTTACTTTTCGTCTGTGACAAAATGTACATGTTTCTTACTCAGCCGGTTATGCGACACCGGCGACAGTATGTGCCCATGAACGACAATATGTGCAATGAGGTTAGGTACATATTGTCGCCGACAACAAAATGTACCGTCTGCTCCCCACCCCAACCCGAAATATTAGATCATCGGTTGACCAATATCTAGTTAATGCATCAATGATATTTCTTTTTCCCAGAAATAAATTATAAATTCATTTTTTAAAAATTTTCTTTTTGATTACTTATAAAAGTATAACATGATTAGACAGACTTCAAAACAGAAAATATCAGGAAGACATCCTCAACCCTTTAATTAAATCCTTTTAATTCAATACATTTTGAATTTGGAAACATTTTGTTGGCTTTTATATTTTTTTTAAAATAAGCATGGTCTTTATTATGAGAATGTTGACTTTCAACAAAAGTCTGAACAAATGCATTTTGTAAATTTGTCACGACACATGCAGTCTTTTGTCTCCGTGCGAAGAACATATTCTCTAGATCTATAGGAAGCAAGGAATGAACGACAACTCTGCGCAGAAGATTGAGTACTTATCATGATGACGTTTTTCCGATTATGACGTCACTTTATGGCGTTTAGCTTGTCTTACCAGGTTATAACGGCTAACAGCCTAAAACAAGTGTAGTGGTATAATAATAATGTAAAGAATGACATGAGAGGTAAGATATCTGACAATTTAATTGTTCTACGTTTGTTTTCAATATATGTTTGTTAATAAGTGATGACGTCATACTTGGTAACTGCTAGGGAGCGTTGCGTTGTAGTTACCGTTGTTAGTTACTCACTTCTATCAGTAGAGAGTAGACGTGTTTTTTGCATAGCAACAAAAATTGCAAATATCATCATGAAAAGGCAAAGATCTGCAGAGAGAAAGAACAAGAGTGTGTCTAAGAGGGTAATGCATCAGCAAATAAATCATTTACTCTCCAAAAACTTTTTTTCTACAAAATACAGCACATTTTAAAATTCGCGATAATTTGAACTGAGAAGGGGAAGGGGGCAAGGCTTTCTATTTACCTTGATATTTGTAATTACATACATGTATATTACATGCATGTATCTTTGGCTACAGTGAAGAAAAACATTGAATAAAAATTTCATTTTCAGAGCATAGATCATGATTTTGTAAATCTATAAAGATAAATCGGGGGGGGGGGGGTGTTTATAAGAATACGATTTGGGTTAGAACATGAAAGAAGATTACATTACGTACAAAGAATCTTGAAAACCTGTGCAACCTTAAAATTTCTTCCTTGTTTGTAAATGCTTTGAATTTCTTCCGATAAAAAGTTCTATTGTTGCTTTAAAAAAGGGGGAAGCTGTCCTCTACATTGCGTACGTTAAAATACTCTGCTCCCCATGCCCCCCCTCCCCCGCCCAAAAACAATTGCCGTATACTATAGAAAACATGCATATGTACATGTAGTTACTTTATGATTGTCCCCCTCAATAATAATGTCTGTTTTTCCCCTTTTTAAAATTATGCTTGTCAAGGCATTTTTAATTGCCATATGGCTAAAAATGTTTGGTGCCCCCCCCCCCCCCCGAAATTGCTTCTTTCGGGCCTGCATGTAGAGGTTAAAGAGGGGATACCATTTAGTGAGATGTACTCGCTGGAGGTATTAATTATTAGAGGTAAATGAATATAAAGAAATAACAATTAAGGTCAGACGATACGTTCCTCGAATATCTATTTTAAAATTGTATCTCTTCGTCACAAAAAGGGGGGGGGGGAACCTTTCAGTGAACATTTTCATTAGTAAAAGGTTATGTTTGGGGAAAAAGTGGGGGGGCACACCCACACCCCCGTTACTAAGTGCCTGATTATTAATATAAAAAGTATTAATAATGAGGCACGTATTATCAGGGGGACCCCCTCACTTTTTCCCCAGACATAACCTTTTACTATTGAAAATGTTCACTGAAAGGCTGCCCCCCCCCCCCACTTCTTGTATTTTAGTTCAAACAAATTATTGTGAAAGGAATTTGAAACCTCCCCCCATGAAGTAGAATTTCCGAGTATGGACGATTTTCCTTTCAAAAACGATACTACGTGCCTGATAATTATCATCGTGTTATGATTTTTAAACTGTTCTCAAGAAGTCTTTGAAAAGAAATTCCAACAAAATTATGATAGTAGCAATTCAAGTGATTAATATAAGATTACCGGTATATAGAAAACACCACTCTCTGGTATCTTGTACAAATGTCTGGAAAGGTACCTAATATTTTTTTGGGAGTCGTTAAAGTAGCAATGCTTTAATGAAATTTTTTTGGGGGAAAATGATATATTATTGAGGAACGTTTCGTCCGACCTTAAAGTAACGTTTTTTTCACATGTGTAAAAGCAGAATTTTTGTTATTTCTAGCGCCGTATAGAGCCCTCTTCAGATGACAAACAGTGGTCCGAAGTGATGCTGAGTCTGGCGGCTAAATCTGCTGTAAGTCTGTCTGTTTGTCTGTCTCTCTCTCTAAGTCCTCTGTCTCTCCAAATTTTCAGTAGTAACTCCTGTTATTTCTCTCCAGTGCAAACCAGTCTTTGCTTCTGCTGCTCAGGGATGGGTAGAGCATATTGAAGACTGGGTAAGAATCTGTGTGGGAGCATTTTATTTACCCAACACAAGGACATATAAATGCACATTGATGTCCAATCAATATTTTTCTTTTAGTTGCATAAATTCTTACAAGAGTTTTATACGATTAATATCTTGTTGCATTACTTCTTTTCCCTTTTTAGCGTAAATTGACCAGTGCCATCAACAAGTCTGAGGAGCGTAGGGAACTTCCCACCATACCACAACCTACGCACCAGGTTAGTGTCGCACTTATTCTCAACGATAGAGCAATCGGTGGCATTTCAAACCTTGTTTTTAAAAGACATGACAGATATTTTAGATCCAGATTTTTATTTTCCTAAAAAAAAAAAAACATAATGAAAAGATCGATATTCAACGGAAATCAGAACTATATCCACCGAAAATCCACAGGAAATTAAAAATATTCCAATGCTGACCCCCCCCCCCCCCCCCGAAAAAAATCAAAATTCATTTTGTATGCCTTTGTATGTGGTCTTGGGCTAGAATAAGGGGTCTTAAGATTACCTCGCCAATATTTTAATTGCGAGTGGATGGGTGGGTAAAGTCTGTTAGATAAGATTGTATCTCGTTGGGTTTCCAGTTTTCACAATACACATGTATCTCGTTGGGTTTCCAGTTTTCACAATACACATGTATCCCCTTGGGTTTCCAGTTTTTCTGGGAAGTATGAATGTTTGAAAGTGTCATTTTGGCTACCTTCTCTGTAAATATAAAATCCTGCAAATTCGTACGGGCAGACCCCCCAAACCACACCCCCCCCCCTTCCACTGGATCTGCTCTTTAAACCTGATCTTTGTTTTATTGAAACTATTTAAAAATGAAATTCACGTTGTGATCAATCTTTATAGATGGAGTGGTTGGCTAGAGTCAATTTTAAGCACAGAGCAGTGCGTCGTGACGTACCAAAACATAGACAACACAAAGTCTCCAAGACTCAGGACTTGAACACCTCCTTTTACGTCTATTAGTAAGGAGATTGTTTTTAGTAAGTAGAACTAATGAATTGACATAATTATGTCTGATTTGTCGTTTTAAAAGGTCAATTTTCTATTAAATTATATTGGGCTAAATTTTAGAGATGTGAGCCCTTTAATGAAATTAAGAATATGTCTCCTTCAGGGAATACACCTCTTGCTTAAATATTTATTCCCATAACTCTTTTTTATTTTTAAAATTTCTACTCAATCTGCAACTTCTGTTATCTTACAAATTATTTATACATGTACAAGAAATTTTATATTTGTAATTGTAGGTAAAGATGCAAAGATACTTTGTCAACGATGAACATGAAACGTTTATGAATTGTACAAAGACAGTGTTGCATGCTTTATGTAGACGTTGCTTCACTTCGTTGTGCGGGCAATTTGAGGCAGAGTGACTTCCCTTTGTTCTTTAACGGGGAAAGCATGCTCCAACACATGCAGAAGAATTTCCCGTATGGCAGATTCCACATGTCATTAAAAGATAGCCTTAGAAACCATTTCTGATCGATGATTTGCATCACGCCTCTTTTGGAAAAGGGGGTGGGATATGACTGTACAGTTACAGAAGTGTATATACTAGTATATATATATATATGAATGCATTTTCTGTTTTCTTTGCTGAGGCATTGTTTATCTGGCAAGTTTTATTTGCCCTTTTTTGACAGAACCCACCATTTTAGCAACTGTTACATTTTTGAAATTATATATATATATATATATATATATATATATATATATATATATATATATATATATATATATATATATATATATATAAAATATCGACTGAGAAATAAATTTTGCATGGTGTTTTTATTGTTATAATAAAATGTATTAAAAAAATTGACTTTGATGTTTGTATTATTTCTTATATGGAAGTTTGAGATATGTCAGCCTTACTCGTCATTGTCAACGAATTAACTCACCGCAATAAAGTTTACTCTCGAGCAATTATACATTAAAGAAAGCATCTTTATCTCAATTCATTAATTAAGTACTGACAGTGTTAAACATTTAAAAAGATATTGCCCCACACGATTTGAATATGCAGAGCTATACCATTCTGAAGATATACCTTAAACTTTTGAATTGAGACATAACTCTCTCTAAGAAGCATTAAATCACATTGTGTGCAATTTAAGATATTATATTTTCCCCACACAATCTGAAGATGCATGGCTATGGACGTATTTCCAGAATGGGTCAATATCACCCACTTTTGGGTTGCCCCACACCATTACTCCGAGATGAATCAATTGACAAGGGTAGTGTGCAAGATATGATCCACGCGCATAATAGATGGACGGACAAACGGACGGACGAAAAGCGTTGAATTGATAATTATACAATTAGTCAACAGACGGGGTATAAAAGCGGCACTCAGTTTCGCATTCCATTTTTCCCCTATTACATGCATCATTTTTGGAATATTTGTGTCACCTCTTACATACAGAACTCCATAATCGGACTGCTTAAATTAAGAAGTTTTTAATTTGTTCAAGAAATAACTTTTTAAGGTCTATGGAATAACGAAGGATAACAAATTAAGGTAGATGATTTCTCCTGCATCCGTCTGTCTCATCTTTCCATCCATCCGTTGGTCTAGCAATTCTCAAGACAGTTGTTCTACATTCGAGCCAAGATTTTGGATTGTGTATGGATTTTCTACAGCTCTTTCTCCCGTGTCCCACCGGAAATGTTTGCAGGACTGCTTGAGAAAAAAAGTTTTCTCATCAGCAAATTTTCTATAATTTTTGGATGAATAAATGCAACACAATTTTATATGCTAAATAAAAAATATGTATTTAGTTTGTAACAGGTTGTCTATACACACAGGAGTGCCTTGTTACAACGCACTTTGAAAAATTACGCACTTTGAAAAAAATTTTCAAAGTGCGTTAATTTTGGGACCACGTTAACGCACTTTGAAAAAAAATATTTCTTTTCAAAGTGCCTTAATATCGACCATATTAACGCACTTTGAAAAAAAAATATGCACGGCTTGGTCAATATTCTTGCAAATTTTAGGTATGATAAATAATTATTTGAACCTAGTTGGTGATGACGTCAGGATCTGAGATGGTTCTCGTAACTATTATAAAAGGGGAATGGGTCTTTTAGAAATAGTGGAGGAATGATTGTTTAATAGTACAGTTTCGTTTATTTTTTTTTCTTTTTTAAATTTTATCCAGTCTCTAATAAGTTTGGTAGATGTACATGTAGGTGTCGATAAGTGACTTAAAGCATCTCATTTTTCTTAGGGAAAAGGGAGCAATTATGATTTTTCCATACCATGAAAATTCTCTCTCTCTCATCTATCTTTCTATCATATTCATCTATCTATCTATTGTTAACATATATGAAACAACGTCGACTGAAATTTTTTACCTCGTTCACTAATAACTTTTTCTCAAAAAAGTTATGCAGTCAGATTACTTCTAAATCTGTAATTTGATATCATAAAAACGCTAGACATGTCAAATAGCATGTTTTACTTACCATGTAAATGCCTATTTTCTAAGGAATCATTGTGGATACATTTTGAATGAAGGTTATGCAGCTCTCTTCTTTAATATATTAGGGTGCATATTTTTTTCAGGAAAGCTTATCTAATTTTTTTTTAAATCTATTTTTACGTTAAGTAAAATTTATTGAGAGAAATAATATCAATGTCATACCAGTTATGAAAATACATATATTTGTGTGGGAAAGATTGAGAGTTGGCTGAGGGACTTTCTACCTGTCTTCTCGTTCTCGATGAGGGCAGATCAATTCATCAGTTTTTCTGAAGAAATATAACAAATTAATACTGTCTATTACAAAAAATCTAAGTCCAGAATTTATTTTATACGTATTTTTTCAAAGTGCGTTAAGTGTCTCCATGGTAAAAAATGTTTATGTACACTCTTAACGCACTTCGAACAAAAATTTCAAAGTGCGTTGATTGTGTCCCAAATTTAACGCACTTTGAAAAATTTCTTCAAAGTGCGTTGATTTTGTCCCAATTTTAACGCACTTTGAAAAATTTTTTCGAAGTGCGTAATTTTTTCAAAGTGCGTTGCCACAGTGCCTAAAGAAGGTAAATATGGTCTATGTATATTTTAAAAGCAATTACTCCAGTTCATAAGACTCTTCATAAAAACAGCAAATGCAATGTACATGTATTGTAGTCTTCAAAATATCCAAGCCGGCTTACTGCACGTATAAAACCATTCATATTACTTTAAAACATTCTCATCCAATATAAAAAGTCAATTTTTAATTACAGTTGGAACACGGATATCTCGAATACCTTGGATATGTGGAAGTGATTTTGAAGTCGCAACTGCTTATTCTTAAGTATTTTACCCTGGATATCTCAAATTCTCCGTTATCTCGAAGTATTTTTTCGAACCTTTTGAGTTCGAGATAACGAGGTTTGACTGTATTTTGTTAATTATCACGAAGGGATCCAGTTGTATAAACAGAGACAACAAATATATTTTATCATTTTATTTTGTAATTTGTATAGACTCACAATGCACTATAACACCAGCCATTTCTACACTGCACATGCAGATACATGTACACAGTTTCTTTCATCTCTCACATCATATGATTCATATACATTATAATATAAAAACTGAGACCAATGAAATTTATTACTGGCTAAACACATACAGCTAAAAATCACCCTTAGATGAAATGATTAATATGAACACATTGAACACTTTCTATTTTAATACATCTTGTACTAGTAATTGAATGTTGTATCACATATATCATACAAGAACTATATAACCTTAGCCTTTATTGACAATTGTAAAATATGGGTTTTTGTTGCAGTGTCCTTTCAACATTGAATTTTTTGCCACAACCTTAAAGTGTAAGCACCATATTAAATGTCATCAAAATTACTATTTCTTCATTGTAAAATTATGAAAATTATACATGTATGTCATGGGAAATGTATCAATGCAGAAAAATCTACCAGGATTCACATTTATTAACAGGAAAAAAAATGTTTTCACAGTTTGATAAATAAAGCACTTTTGTACAAAAAAAATTATATGTATATATTATTATTTTTGATAAATTAAACTTTAAGATGCATTCCTAGCCACTGTGTTGTACAACCAACTATTATCATTAAAACACATCTCTCCAAATGAGATGTCTAAAATTGATCCAGTGCATTCATTAAACACAGCTTATACCTGTATATTCATCATCAACAATTATATTCTCTACAAAACAAATAACAAATTCATTACACAACACTTTAAAAAGGATGTCAATTATACTCAAAATCACAACCAGCAGTATAATCAACATAGAATAAATAATATAACAAAAGTTAATACCTATCTTGGTATCTTTACAGAGTGAAATAAATGCATGCATAACACAATAATCAATTTGATGACAATCAATCAAAATGAGGGGAAAATACTTTGGATAAAATGGTGGGTGAAGCTGATTTGCTATGTACAACACAAAAAAATTGTATGAACAAATGTTTTGGCAGATCTATTTATATCACAATTTAAACATCTACAATGAAGGGATGGAAAGAGAGGCTAAAAAGAGAAATTGCCATTTAAAATACATTGTACTAAAACATTTATAAATCCATCAATGATGTTTAGTTCCATGCCAGGATTAAGCTAACACTTACATGTATTTCTAGCACCATGCTATTTTTTTGTATTAAAGCAGCATTGTATATAAAAGTTTTGTACTGTCATGGAAGATGAGGTTAGAGGTTAAAGGTAAGATCACAACACCAGAAGCATGGCAGGGATATTTTCATCACACTGAGAATAAATGACTTGTATGGCACATTTACATCACTAGACACGACACACATTACACATTTGTATTTCTCTCTCCTGGGTTGTTCAGAGGTGTACTTTCATCGATATTATCATCGCAACTCTCCTCTTCACTTAGATTAACCTCACTGTCCTCGATTTCACACAGGCCTGAGATGTCAGACACGGACGCATTTGTAGATGCATATCCTCCCAAGGACATGCTCATTCTGTCTATGACAGAATTCCTGACATTGTATTCACTGTCTGTAATACCCCCATCAGAAACAAAACCAGGGGCTAACTTTTTAGTGTTAGGGAATCCATAAGTCACAACTTCTTCATCATTGTCAGATGTATAAAATTCATTCTCATCACATGACGGAGGTTCTGGCCAATCACTGTGCGAGTCTCTGTCACCTGACACCTGCTCATGTGATTGGGTAAAGCTGTGATTTGGTAGATACTGATTGGGGTGTGTAATTATCTGATGTTGAGGGAGTTCATAACTCTCCTCTTCCTCCTCCGGAGTTTGAGGAAGTCCTAGCACTCGTCGATAGTTGGGAGGACTCATGTAGCACTCCTCATTATCATACTCATTGTCCGCAAACTCAGAATCACCCACATACTCAGACTCAAGAAGTTCTGGGTCCGTGTAGAGGACAGAGTCATTGATGGGACCATTGGGAAATCCTATGTGAGTGTTGGACTCATTGCTATGGGGACTAGAACTTGGAGAATCATGGATTTCATGGATTGGAACTTCACTGATGTTTGGAAGGGATGGTCTAGGGGCCCAGTCAGAGGCATCCCAGTGATAATCTGAAAAAACACAATGAAGGGTGAGACATAAAGTCACACAGTTTCAATGCACATTGACTACATACATTAGACTTACATATACTCAATTAACAAAAAAATCTTGCTTTAAAGCCAAGAGCAACAAAGTTTAAGTTCAAGATCAAAGTAAAATATAGGCACTTGCATCATTACTTTTCATATAAATTACCTGACACGGTGCTAAAATATGTTCATATACAGAATATACACTAAACTTTTATTATTGATACTGATATTTGTGGTTACATTTTATTACATAAATTTACTCATTATTTGCACAGGATACAAACACATTCAGGCAGGGTAGATCTGTTTAAAGACTGTTACTGAACATATACATACAGAATCAAGTTTAAGAGCATAGAAGACTTCAGATTTTCTTTCTTTTTTTAACCAATTATAAATTAATGAACCAAATATTTCATAAATGAAAACCACATGACAAGAAAAAAGAAGAAAAACCACTTAGAAATAAAATAATCTGGTTAATAAGAACTAATGGAAGAATATATTGAGCATGCATAGTATAATAAGAAATCATAGAGATTGGAAATAAAATCTGAAATAAATACATGTATAAAATAAATAAGTGTAATTAATAAATTATAATTAAAAAGCTTTAACCACATGAAGCAACATTACAGATTGTTTTCTAAGTAACATGCTGAGTGGTCGAGCTACCTTTTCCTTTCTTCCTGCACCTAGCCGCTGTTGGAAAAAAGATTCTCTATTGTATAAAGACAAAAACACACACGTCTTTCATGTTTTTTCTATGAAGGATCTTGATTATTTGTGGATGATGTCATGACTGACTACAAGTTGCTTTCCTTAACGACTCGGGTATATCTAATTAAGCAAAGACAAACAAGCTCCAAATTCCAAGCCTACTGAAAAGTAGAAAATTTTTCTCTCTCTCTTATAGTTTGCTTGCATAAAGCATTGCATTGAAGGGAAGCAACCTGCTTCTTTGGCAATATACTTTATATCTCAATAATGAAATGAGATGACAAATGATAATGAAACTGCCCCTTGTACTTAATTGGAGTAAGCTCTAATTTGACCTAGAAAGGAAAATGTTTCCCATTAGATATCTATAAATACTTATATGGGTTAATCAATTTGATCCAGAAAGAAAAATAATTCCCATTAGATGTTTACTATATAAATACTTGATGAGTTAATCATGTTGATTAGATGCTTGTTGGAGATAAGCCACAGTTTATGTACATGTAAGTCTAGCTTATGTATTAGACTATAATTAGTGCAGATTTTCCTGCTTGACCAACATTTTATGTAAGTGTTCAGTGTAATGTACATATGTGCAAGTTTATAATATATTGTTGACCATAAGAGAATAAAGTATCCCACTATCTGATAATGGTTTGTTTCTATAAGGTCTGGTGCCAAAAGTGCAAATGAGGTGCAAATGGTAAACAAGAATGATGAAAGCCGAAATATGCATGCAATGAAAATGAGTTGATGCTTAAAAATTAAATCTAAAATTCTACATTATAATTTCATAGTAATATGTTTAAAAAAAAGTTTCTCTTAAAAATTTTTGTTTTTAAATTGTAAAAAGAGTTATCTACAGTTATGTAGTTGGAGAATGTTATGAAGTGGAATGGATGAAAAAGTTCTTGGAGTCAGAGACATCTATTTCATTGAAGAAGTAGAGTGGAGTTGAATAGCTTACCTGGTTCATCTTCAGACTCCGAGACAGGAAGACTGCTGAACGAGGTAGTATCTGGACACATAAACCCTTGGCGAGGCATGCGTGGGAATTTCTCTGGGTGTTTCTTTTCTATTTTGAAGATAGAGACAAAATCAAATGTGTATGTATAAATACATGCCTCATTAATAGTTCAACAATTTTCTGAAATTCAACAGAAATAGAATATTGAGTGAAAAACCTACCCTCTAAATTTTCCAGCATATTTGGACAGTCTCCTTCCCATGTTGCTTTCTGGAGTGAGTCAGTGTCTGAAGGAGGGTTAGATGGAGGGGGAGGGGGCAGAGAAGGGGCCACACTGGCATTGCTGCGGGGAGGGGGACCGTGGAAGGACAGGAACTCCTGGGTTAGGTAGGGAATGTTGTGGCAGTTCTCCAGCTCATCAGCAGCTGATCCATAGTTGTGAAAATTGTCAAGGTTATTGAGAGTGTTGAGGGAGTCATGGTTACTGGGGGTGTAGGATGCAGGCCTGTTAGGTACAGGGGGAGGTTGAGGGCTGGGGGGAATGTTGGTGTTAAATTTGCTGATGTCAAAGTCGCTGACTTTACAGGTATCTTTGCGACTCTTGAGCATCACATCCCTCTCGTCATCGTACGCGATGCCTAGGGTGACGTTCCTTCCTGTTCTGCTTAGACGTCTTCTGTAGCACTGTACTCCGACAAACAAAATTGCCAGGAATACGAGACTTCCTGTCACCCCTGCAAAGAGAAATAAACCTGTTCAAACTTATCTTATGAAGAAAACTATCTTCTTCACTGTTAACCTTTTCACTGATTTAAAGTCATTTCAAAGTAACAACTTACCGACTATTATATACAATGTCGTATTTGTGATTCCCGAGTCATCAGAGTCAATATTTGTTTCTACAAACTTAGTTCCTGGAACTTCTGACCACAGATCTTCACAAGTTTGACCTGAAGATAAATAAATTTCTGAACTTTACCATCATGTTACTTAATTCATCTTCTTCTATATGCATTCAAAGAATCCATCAAACAATTATGTTAATATGTTAACTAAAAAAAAGGAAACTCCAGATATACTCCTTAATTTAAGTATTGCACAAAATAACAATCTCCCTCACCTGCAAATTCAGGGGGGCAGTGACACATGAATGAGGAAGGGCCTTCAATACAGCTCCCTCCATTCTTACAAGGAGAGGAATGGCAGTACTTCCCGTAGCGACAGAACTGTCCCTGGTAGTTGTCCCGGCACCTGCACAAGAACTCATTGGGCAAGTCCTTAACATTCAAACATTCACCTGTAAAACATCCAGATATATTTATAATTACTATTGTAAAGATTTCAAACTTTATCTTATAAGCTGACAAAGAGTCCTCCGACACATAGTATTTTAAGGTTGAAAACGTACCATTTCCTCCACAAGGGTTATTGGCACATGGATCCCGATCAATTTCACACTGGTTTCCCTCGTATCTCTCTGGACATTGACATGTGTAGTGTTCATACCCTCCATATTGTGGATAGGGCACACAGACTCCTCCATTGGAACAACTCACAACACTGCAGATACCTGTAAGAATACATACATACATTCCTTACATATTTATGATTTAGA